GCCGCACCGCAGCCACCCGATGGAGGCACCTCCGTGATAATTGCGCTGCTCGACAAACTCATCGAGAATGGACGCAATTACAGTTACGAACTGGTTCTCTGTCTCAAGATACTCCTGCGGAATGTGTCCATGATCGAAATGCCTTTTAAGGTGAGTCTCAAAGCACGAAAGTGAAATTTAAGTATGCGTTCCCAAATACAATTTCTCCTCTATTTCGCCAAGTATCTTAAAATAATATGATGTAGCATTTTTAACATTTATCATTATTAAACTAGGTTAAAGGCGAATTTAAGTCGAAAATGTTTATGAGAACATGTGCCTTTTATCCATTTGCCTGCTTGACAGAGCAAAATCGTACCAACTTCACATGCGGGGCACGAACTGTCTGTCTTTATCAGCTTGCCCAATTCCTATCCTTTTAACTTTTTGCTCACTTTTAAGCTTCCCCTCTCTACTCTTTTCAGCCCATAGTGTATGCGTCACGTCGTGAAATGTTTTTCGAGCGCTATGGACGACTCCTAATGGACAAAATCATTGGCAAGGAACAGGTCTATGGCGTGCCCACACTGCGACACTTGTGCCGGTAATTATCAACTGAGAACTGAAAGCGAACTTTGCTATCGGCTGTGCCCGCCACTGTCCACTCGTCTTTGAAGTTCTGGCTCCTCGGCTCCGTGAAAGGATGATGGTCTGACAGCTAAAGCACATGGCTACTGTTGGTTGGCAACCAAGTGAAACTTTCTTTCTTATTCAATTACTTTGGCTTAGATTTTGCTGCTACTGCTGCTTCTGCTACCTCAACGTTACCCTGACTTTCGACGGTTCTCACAGTTTGCCGCGATAAGCCCGGAAAATTTAATAAGCACAAAAGTCGAAGAAGCGATTCTCCACGGCCCGACTGGGCCTGTCTGATTGATAGACAGTTTGACAAAGCATTTTGTTGACGCTTCTGTTGCGCCTGCCAACTGTATTGTTTCTTATCTCCTGATATTGGGTATAATGGTTTTTCGCAAGCGTTGGTAACACCCAGAAGGAAATATCTCCGACGCCTTAAAGTATATAATTTCATCTAGCCTATTCCTCTGTCCAGCTACCTGCTTGTTCGTCCGTCTGTCTATGTATACCCTTTAATCTCAGAAACTTTAAAAGCTTCATACTTTAAAATTTGCAATATATGTATACGCAGGACGAGCTTGTCAATTTTGAGAGTTTATTTGTTTTTGGCATAAGTAGAGAATTTTAGTATAGTTCATTTTTGTGCTTAGACATATTTGGCTGTCCTATCTATGCCCTGAACATTAGGACAAGTTTCAAGAACTTGCTTGTATGCGTGTGTGTGTGCACGTATAAAACGTGTGTGCTGTGTGTTTCTATGTATCAAAGGAAGCTGCTGTGTACAGGGTATTTACTAGTCGAGCACTCACTTCTGAAGTTTTTTTCTTTGGCCAATGCCGTTGCTTCTTTTGTGATGTGGCTTGCCGGAAACTCGCTTGCCTTTTGTCTATTATGTCAATCTCTTGGCCTTATCGGGCTCTCGACTTTGTCGCATTTTGGGCAAAGTTGCGTTTAGGCCAACTAGCTAACAGCTGTTGGCCAAATTTAATTGAATTTCGTGCAAATTTGATTAGTACTCAGCATTTAATCGATAAGCTGTCAAGCTATTTACTAATTTAATAAGTTGGCAAAAAAGTTAGGTGTGGCCTGACGTCCGCACTCAGATCGGATTTCAGTGCGGATTGTGGCAAGAGGCACACTTTGACCCCAACTTATGTTATTTGCTTCACATGTTTGATATTTGTCAACTCACGTGTCACATAAAAATCCAACGACTTTGCCCCACACAAGCCACGTGTTCTTGTGTGTGCTTATGATACCCAGTAACAAGTGTTTGATACAAGCAGGCATTTCCCTGTGTTCAATACAAGTCTATCGGTTTCAATATCCGGGTATATATTCGTGTGCTGTATGAAGAAAATTACTCAGTAAGTCAACTATGAATTGACGGTTATTATTCGAGTTTTCTTGGGGATTTCCAAAGATTAATTAGTCACTCATTTTAACAACGTTATCCGCAGCTTAAAGTACAGATGAATCCTCTTTTAATCTTTAGCTAGAATATAATATAATTTTCCCACTGTTTTCACAGCTGTATATGATTTTTTTTGGTTTTGGCAGATGTGTATGATATAAATTTTGGGTATTTACTTTTTAAATCTAGCCAGAACATGAATTGAAAGTGCAAAGACCAAACCTGACCACAGCCTACTTTTGCTCGGCTTAGTATTTCTCTACAAATTTCAGCTATACCTTTCCAACACATTTTCTACATTATTGATATTAATTTTTCCCTTTGATATATTTTAAATAGAGTTTAAACTATGTTTATTGCGGGGTATCTTCTGATTAAGCAAACTCTACTAAAATATTTGCGTTATTTTTATCTGCTTGGTATTTACCAGTTTGCCAATGTGATTTTCCTAGGTGAATGTTTGTGCAGTGCAACCGCGCACTTGCATATCGAATGACCGCATGTGTATATATTTTCTTAAAAAATATATATGGAGGTTTATATATTATTTATATATTTATTTATTTTATGCGCATATTGCATATTGCGCAGTTGTCGTAGCATTTGCCAGTCAGATTTCAATTGCTGTGGCTGCTGCTCCCGCTTGGCTCTTGATTTATGCAATTTTCTTTAACATTTCGCTTTCATGTAAAATTTATTTTGCTTTGAAAGGCAAGCGCTTTTCAATTTGAGGCTCATTAATGTCACTCAGGCGAACCCATGCGCTGCCACAAAGCGCATTCAAGTCTTAGTCTACATGTTGCGCATACGCCGCGTATACGCTTTTTTAATACCCTTGCACAGGGTCTTATTTTAGCAGAGCCTACGAAGCAGCTCGGTCTATTCCTATGCAATGGAATCTCTCAGTAGAAAACAAATCCCTCAGAAATAACAAGGTTCGCTGTCTGTCAGCAAGAGTATTTAACATTCGCTGTCTCGCACACAGTCGTGTTCTCTTTTCTTCTATGATCGCTTAGTAGCTGGCGCTTTGGGACGCGCCTGCATTCATTGGTGGCGCCTCGTAAAGTGGTCAAAAGAAGAGGCGCACATAATTTGCAGCCCTCAATAATGTTGACAACGCAAATTAACGGCTACATAAAAAGTTGCTCCCAGTTGGCTGCGGCGGACAGCTTATGCGACAGATTAGCATATTTTAAAGCTGATGTCGCGTTTTATGGAGTCCATTTTTTGCGTTCAAGTTTTCTGAATATAACACACAGAAATTCACAATTGCCTCTCGTGTGCGCACTTTTACACACACATACAAACACACATGCGAGTATTAGCAAGTTTGCTCTGTGGCCTTCGCGAAAGCAGATTTCACTATGCCTTAAAAAGACGCTTGATTGCGCGCGAATCAAGTGGGGAAAGTGAAAAAGTGTACGGAATAAGAAAAGAACGAAGAAAAATCTACACACAATTTCCGGTACTTGAACTTCTTCTCTCGTCCGCTTTGCACGCTGTATCCTAAGGCAAAAAGAGTATATTCGTTAAAAGTAGAATGTGCCTGTCTCTCTATATTTGTCAAAGATATATTTTTTTTGTTAACATATGCAATATGCAAGGTTGTTACAAAAAACTTGGCATAAATGCCGTTCGAGAAAATGATAAATATTTGTTCGTAACGCCCTGTAAAAAAGGCCCTTCTGTAGTATATTCAGATAAAAAACATTCCATTAGCTACTGCTCGATGCTTACGAAACCAAATTTGAAATATATATTCTTATTTAACGTGCTTTTTGATCTCTCTCCATATTTCTCACGCTCCTCATAATATCGATTAATATCGATTTTGAGACTTAGTTTTCTATGCAAAATGTGAGAGGAATGTATGCTAATCTTGACATATTGGTTCTCGTATAGCATATACATATACATAACTTATTTTTTAAGGTGGAGCCTTGCACTTTTGTATATCTACACTCAAGAACACCCAGAGCAGAGAACCAGCGTGTGTGTGTGTGTTTTTATTGGGTATGTGTGTGTGTAAAGAAGGTAACTAGAAGGCTTGTGAAGTCAGCTTCTCGCTGGCTGCAGGGCATCTCCTAGTCGGGCACTACCAATTGGGCATATTGTTTCCGTTTTTGCCGAATGCCACAAAAAAATCGCATAAGCAAAGTTGTGCAAAAGTAAAGTTTATAAAAATTTTCTTACAACAAAAGTTTTAAGCACATGAACTTTGCTGAGCTTAGCTCAGTTTTGTTGTTGTTGCTGTTGTGATTCTCTACTTTTTTCTATATCAGCTTATTATGTGAAACTTAAATTAATTTATGAAATAGCTGCTAAAGATTGACAGGCAGTGGGTTGAGCTGCAAAAGGCAAAAGTGTAACTTGCTAAAAGCTGGTAGTTTCACGAGGATTTTCTGGTAATATATTTAACAAATTTAGCTGAAAGATAGTTTCTGAGCCCAAAGTAAAACACAAATATTTGTAATATTATAACCAAATTCTTTCTCTTTCCCCTCTGCTCGCTCAGTTGTCGTGTTCGGGATATACTGCGAGAACATAATCAACTGCCGAACGGCATCGATACGCTGCGCCTGCCCAAGCGACTGCAGCGCTACATAGACCTCACCGAGGAGCTGGAGGGAACGGAGCTGCAGCACCAGCAACCACAGCCGCTGCCCGAGAAGCCAATGCAGCGGCTGACAAGCGCCATGCAGCGACTGGACACCATCAGCAGCAGCGGCGCAGAGAGCGAGGATGAGAGTGAGAATCATGTGCAGCTTCTGGAGGCAGTAACCGATGCTGAGAAGGCAGCTGTCGCCGCCTTTATGGCCACTGGCGATGGCGCCATCACCGACGAGGCCAAACAAGCGGCCGTTGCCGCCTATGTGGCGGCCAACGAAGCCGGCCAAGCCCCGCAGAGTCCTCCCCACCCGCCTCGCCCACCCTCCCCAATAAGCTAACTATAAAGTTATGTTACACTCACCGATAGGTCTCCTCGCTAATGTTTATGCGACCGGGCACGCCGGTGGTTTCGGTGCGACTCGTCAGGTTGACGGTGTTGCCAAAGAGGCAATAGCGGGGCACACGATTCCCGATGACGCCGGTGACCACCTCGCCCGAATGGATGCCAATGGTGATTTGCTGTGTTGGCGTTGAAAAAAATAAAAATATTTAAGACATTATATATAGGACAAGCGAAGCTCTTTATTTTCTAATTGATTTACTGAATAAAATGTAACTTAACACCCAGCCAAAAAGCATGTGCCACGCGCAGATTACCAAGTCCAACACTTCATTGTGCTAATAAAGTTTCAGCGCAAAAAATAAAAGGAAAAAACAAAAAAGATGAGTAAAACCCTCAGCAAAAGCCAACAAAAATGGCTCAAGTTCTGCACGAAAATGTTCCAAGTTGCAAGTTCCAAGCCAAACCAAGAAAAAGTTGCCACAATTACTTTGAAAAAGTTGCACTTGCTACTGCCTTTGCCTCTGCTAGTGCTACTGCTGCTGCTGCGGTGGGCAAAACTTTGCTTTAATTAAATTTAAAACGAAATGAGCTGCGGCTGCGGCAAAGTACCAAAAACCAAAAACCCAAAAAGCAAAAGGCGACAATTCTCCGTAGGTGACGTTGCCAAAAATGGTCAGGAATGTGTAGGTGAGCAAGTAGGGCAGCATGTGTGCTTGGCTAGAGTTTCAAAGACTAACGTTTGAAAGCTACAATTGCAATAACAATGCATTGGACTGGATTTTTGGACTAGGAGTTACCCTTTACCTTATAGCTTCTTGATAGGCTTTCAAGCATATAAATGTTTTAAGCTATCGGAAATAAACCTCATGGTTTAGGTAAGATGTCTTACTGTGCTCCTTGTAGTTCACAAAATAGGAAATGATAAACCCCCATCCAACTTAAGAGTTTGATATAAGTATATGTGCAAAAAGTATCGGCAATAAGCAACCCCTTTACCCTCTAATGATTATCTACAGGGTATTAAAATAACATTACGCTGCAGTAATTACGTGTCTTAGTTTAGCCAATAGAACATGAGAGGTCACACAAGAGTGCAATGTGGGAAAAACTGTCGAAAACTTTACTCCATTCATTTGGACAGCATTGAAAAGCGAGGCCAAGCTTTTATATTTGTATTTTTAGTCCCGAACTGCAACTAGGTTGCATCCAGAAACTGAGTGGTAACTGAATCAAATCAATGCCTGGCAGACCATGTGGCAGCAAAATGCAATTTTGATAAGTGAGTTTAGCACGAAAGTGAAGTTGTTATAGTCTCCTCCTCTGCCTTTCGCTTCACTTTTCTATATCTCTCAAAATAAGTGTAAGAGTTTAGCAACAGTTGAATATTGGAAATTTTTTTCATTTATTAGCGCAGATAGTTGCATAGAAAATGATTTATCTCCAAAAAAATATTACAAACTTATCATTTAAATTAAGCGTCTTCTGTTGTCCTTTTTCATGGCATGAAAGAAGTAGCCATGTCCTTTTCTTTCCTATCTGATAGACGCAATTCTTGCACATTTTTGTAGGGTATGTTTAGAATATGCAAGTGTACATTTTTTTTTATCAATTGTAGCAATATTTATTGATTTCAAGCAGCTAGCAAACGAAAAGAAAACTTTTGGCTGGCGAAATAGCGTTGCATAATTGGCTTCATAAAATGTTTGAGCGGCGGTTGGGGGCTCTGCCTGGCATAGTATTGTGTTTCATTTTCATTGTTTTTGCAGTGCCGTTTTCCGTTTCCTTTATTTTTGTTCTCATTCTGTTTGTTATCGGCAGCTAATGAAGCGCGAAATAGCAGAGCAACATGGCCCAGAACGCTGTGGGCTTTGTTAATTGCATTTGGAACTATCTATCAAGTTGGCTCGTTGCCTGTCGGAAGGCAAACGAGTTCTGTCTGGCTGTCGTTAGAAGTTCGATTTTTTTTGGGTCTTTCTCCTATTTAGTTTGTTTTTTTTTTGATTGCCCTTGGCAGTCAGTCGTGCGAATCTGCAGGCTGCACATGCATCAAAGTCGACATGCAGCACCAGCAACAGCAGCCCCAACGTTGGTCAGCTGCTGAGCAGTACGAACCTGGTTACGTGCATCCGGCTACATAACCAAAAGCAATCACTCAAAATATGAGAAATAGTGTGGCAACCGCAGTAGTTTACTGCAGTCGTGGCATGCAACTTGAGTGCGAGATGGATGGGCATGGCTTAAGGCACAGTCAACGCCCGAAGGTGGGCGTTTTAGGGTCTTGGAAAGGGATATTTCTAGCACAAGCAACTTTTACAATAAGACCAAGCGACATGAGCTGAGCATTCGAGCAAGACTCCCAGCCCCATTCACTGTGCCTGCTTGTGTATGCAGTTATGGCATGTTGCGTGCACATACATACATGCTGCAAGTTACTGTGACAAGCCACAAGCATTGTCCACACGTACGACAATGCTGACGTCGGCGCCGGCGCCGCTGCTGTTACCGCTTGGCTGCTGTAATTGTGAAGGATGCCATCAAGTGGGCATCCCCTTGTCCTGTGTGTGCCTGCGTACAAGTATATATGTATATCCCTATATACATAGCTGTCGCATATTTTAAGCTCAAGCACTAAAAGCAAGTGTTTAAGCCCACAAAAAAAGTTGGAAACCAAAAGAAAAAACTGTTTTCCTTTCTTGGCCGCAGATTAAATACCCTTTCAGATTTACGGGCGATGCGTCATGTGCCCTTAATGCTTGGAAGTGTTTTCTTTTATACAAAAAGTTCCTATGGGAGCTACATGAAATAATCATTCCAGCTTGAATATATTTTACTAATACAAGAGTAGCAAAGTAAAGTTGAGTTGGATCTAAATATCTTGACAGGAAATTATGCTTTTCAAAGTATATATCGAAGAATTTTGTCAACAGAAGCTATATAATATAGTCATCAGATCCGGTTGACGCCAACCTATGCATTGGTTGTACTAAAATCAAGAAAGATCGTCGATGATTAACTACTCTTAGACTATTTCTTAGAAATGCTTTGTAGCTTAGCTTTACTGATTTAACTGATTCTTCCTATAGAATATGTATAAAATAGTACTCAAATTTAATACATTTTGCAGATAAGCTAGGAGAATTGTGGGGCATGTAATTGCCAAACTTCATCAAGAAGTTTCGAAAAATAAAAAATACAAGAACTTAATTTCGTATCGATAATAACTATGTGTATATGATCTAGTGGACCGATTCATCTAATTCCATAGTAATAATAAAAAAAATAAAAATGTATATCAAAACTGATCAGAGATGTCGCTAATGCCATTTTAATTTCATGCCACAATTTAAATAGACTTCGCAAAGGCAGGCCACAGCTCGACAGTCGACGGTCAAGTGGAAAAGGCTGCCAAGGTCTTTGGGAAGAGGCCTGGAGAGAAATGGGGATGGGACTGGGCTGACGGACCGACCACGTCACACAACTTGATGGCTGTCCTTTGACATGGTGTCATCAATTTGGAATTAATTCTAGCAATTTACACAATTTGCCACAACTTTTGCGCCAGCAACTTTTGCAGCATATCAGCTTTAGTTTTTTTTTTGTTTGTCTATTTTTTTGCACGCTTGTTAATATTTTACGTGCTTCTCATAAGGCAATCGGTGTGTCTGTTCTCCATTGATATTTTTGCACCATTGAAACGTTGTTGCCGCGCCGCTGCTTTAATGCAATCAGCAACAAATTGCGCGCAGCTTATTCAAGTTGCAAGTTCAGACGAATGCACAACACAAGTGTGTGGGAGGGGGGGGGGGGGGGGGGGGGCACTTTCGAATGCGTTCAGTGCGCACAATTAGAAGGCAGGCAGATGACTGCGCCCCTGCCACAAAATGCCTCCCGCAGCACTTGAAAACTTGCTTCAAGCATTCATTTCATACTGTCGCGCCTCTGGCGCAGACCAAGTGTGCAACAGACAGCGAAACTTGCAACAGCCGTACAAATAATACAAATTTGTGCAACATTTTCACAAAACTTGTTTGCATAAATTAAAAATAAGTAAGTTCTTAACGATTTTTTTTTTCTTTTTAATTTAGTTATTTTCACAAATTCGATTTTAACGAGCTTAACTGAATGAAAATTAAATCACAAGCAAGTTGATAAATTGTTACGATTTGAAATCTTGTAAACGTATTATATTTCGAACGTTTCAAGCAAAGGTTGAAATAAATGATGTAGTACTTAATAATTCATTTAAGTATTGTATCACGTTTAATTGGATAAACGATTAATTTGTTTAGAAGCAAAATAAAGTAAAGAAGAAAGCATTTCCCAACACATAATTATATGCTGAATAAGTACCATGAGCTGATTTTGATATCTGATAACAATTAGATAATTGAAACTTTTAATAGATGTGCTCCGTTTGGCATTAACAGAGGGAGTACATGACGTTTCTTGGACATACTGGGAGGTTATTAAAAAAAATCTATAAATATTGATTTACAGACACCATTTTTAGGCACAATTCGAAAATAATATGTGCTAGACACACAAAACTTGGTATCAGGGTCTTGGTTGCTCTCCCTGTTAAAAACTCATTTTCAAAACATTTTGGGGTTTACCGACTTTTGAAAATTGATTACAGAGTGGACTAGAAACTCTGAATTATTAAATTTATCATGAATTCAAAGTGAGGTATGCGAGAATGTTTGACACGCCGTGGTATCTCCCAGTCGGACACTTCCAAATAAAGTCTCTTGCTTATCTAAGTTTCTGTTCACTTACCACCGGATTGGAGCCCATTTTGACATTCTTAGCCATATCCATCATATCCAAAGCGACGCGCGCCATGCACTTGGCGTGATCCTCACAATGATCTGGCAGACCCGAGACGGCCATATACTTATCGCCCACAGTTTCCACCTGGAAATGACACAAAACACGTGTGTGAGTATATTAAAAATTGGCATTCATCCGGCTGTCAGACAAATTGACAGCTGACCTAAAAGCGGTTCTGCAAATTGTTTGACCCGGTTGAGCTAAGCTACATTTCGTGGCCGAGCGGAAAATTGTAATTAAGTGTCAGGTTGATGCGTTCGTTTTGACAGCCATTAGTGGCGCATCGAGGTAAGAGCATACAGTGAGTGTTCGTTAAAAAAATAAACATACGTTTATATATATTTATTTATGAAAAACACTTACTTTGTAGACATTCAGGTTGCGCTTGGAGTCGGTGAGCGCATCAAAGACGGTGTAGAGCTCGTTAAGCATTTTTACAATTTTCATGGCACCCTCGGGATCCGTGTTGGCTGCACAATATTGCCCGAAGCCCACAATGCCAGAGAACATCAGCGTTACGGAGTCATAGCTGTCAAAATATATATGTGCATTAAATAAATTGCGCAAATAGCTTAATGTTTGTGGCCATTGGGCGGGCACTGGGGACAAGTGTTGGGTACGTAACTTCTTGAGTCTTGTATCCATCTAACCAATTTCGTGTCTTAGACCTGAAGAATAATCTGAACACGTGCTACCAAATATCAACTAGTTTGCACGATTATCAAGTTAATGTGATTAAGCGAGACTATTTAAAATTAAACACGAATACACATAGATACACGTAACTTTGGCAGACGGAAACTGGTGTTGGTGCATGAATAGACTAATTCAATTTCGTATTAACTAGCTTGCGCAATCAACAAGAGTAGGCATGACCTTGATTTAACACGACTTAGCAGAACGCATACAATAAATGTATTTACGGTTTTTAGGAGCCAGCTGTGACGTGGCGTGTTAATTTATTAGATGTCGTGTCTAAAAATTGAAGGCTTGTGTGATTCGTGTTCACAAATATCACAATCAACAACACAAATAACGACTTACTAGATTAAACCCGACTAAGAACGAATTTACAAATTGTTCCATAAATACACATGATGTTACGCACGTTAATATTATTAATCACGATTTCAACTGAATTGAAATGAAATTTATGTTTGGTCTTTAAAGATTCGATTTTAAAGATTTCGTGTGTAATCAAACACAATTTTACATGAGCTATTACGAATTGGCATGATTATAAGCAATGATATTTCCGCTGTTTTAAAATATTCAACAAATGTGAACAGCTCATTAAATCCGAGTCATGTCCTTTTGACAAGCGTCGTGTCGAGCAGCAAAACTTCGACACGACCACAGTTCCAGTTTGTATTAGGCATCGGGGTTAGGGCTATAGCTTACCGTTTCGGAGGCACTGGACGCTGATGTCGTAGCTCATTTGCCACAGATTTGGGCAGCACCGAGTAGAGCAGCCTAACCAGGAGCGAGAGCAGCAGCAGGGGAGGCAACAATGGATAAACAAATAGAAAGAAAATGTTCGAGTAATTTTAATTTCGCGCCTGAAAGCATGCAACGATTTACGTGCTTGTTTGTTTGTTTTTTTTTTTCTTGTCGTGCGCTCACTCTAATGTGTTTCTATTTTTGTTACGCTTTACATCATTTTTCTTACCTGTCCGTTTTCTGCTTCTCACTCTCCAGATCGCGAAACGTTTGCTGTAGCTTATCCGTCAGCATTTCCAGATTTTTGGTCAGCTTGTATTCCGCCTCGAATTTCTCAGAAAGCAGCACCAAATCTCTGGCCGCATCGTGCAGCGGCACATCCGAAATGTAGAGTCCCTTCCTACAAGCAAAAGAAAAACGTCGTGTGTGAGTCGAATCGAAAAAAAAATGACGCGCATTTTATTTAACTTAAGTCTGTTTGGCTTTAGCTTGGCTTCAGCCGGAGCGCTAGCAAATAAAATAAAATATGTACCCGCCAGCAGTAAAGCTGTAGGGTGAGCTTTGAGTGTGCGCGCGTGTGCAAGTGTGTGTGTGCGTAGGGGGTCTTGCGTCAGGTGTAGCAATACATATTTACTGTCACCAATAAATTTTAGCTGGATATTTGCCATTTCTTTCAATATAAATGCACAAACAACAGGCCATAAACTGTCAGCGGCTGCTCTATAAATCAACATTTGGAAAATCAATTGCAAATTGAAATACTTTAAGAATTTTTAATTCGACCGAGATAAGGGATATTTTAAGTACACAAAACTCCGTTTGATTAACTGGAAAATATGGACATTCAAAAGCAAGGCACGTTCCATTTGAACTATGTTGTAAGGTTAAGAAGCAGCAGGTCATGAAAACGCTGCTACCATAATCAGTAATTGTAATGTATTAAGTAAACAAGTGTCTGTTAGTTTAACTTTAAATTGTCCAAAAAAAATTACGCACATTTCTTTTTCACTGAACTGGAAGGCCTTGTAATAGCAAGATATGAACTTTTTGTTGTTAATTTCAGTATTTTGTATGCTTTAAGTAAACAAATTTTTTTGTGTTTATGTCTGCAAAATATCGGCATTCAAAATTTGGATATCTTTTCAGATGGAAGTCATGAAATAGACGCTACTTAAATCAGCATGTTTTTTTGAGATTTTATTTGGTATAGGTTTTTTTTGCGCCTATCTTACATTCAACTATTTTCTGATATTTTATAAAAGGTAGTTTTAAGAAAAATCTATTAATGCGACTGTTTTCTTTTAAATATATAACTTATTATTTACTCACTTGGTTAGATCATCCAAATTCATGACGCTCGGATAGCACTGAAACAATATGCGATCTGTTTCTGGTATATACATCATTTGGCCCTAGAATATGGACAAGAAAAAAGCTGAGCAAAGTAGACGGCAAACATAACACACACACATACATATAATTATCTTAAAAAATACGTTTATGCAACATTTTGTGGCCAGCCGCATTAAATTTAATGCAATACAATTTCAGTTTGAATTTCAATGGCGGCGGCTGTGCTTAAGCGGCCATTTTGTGTATTCATTTCATTTTCTTGTGCTGTTGTTGTACTTGTGTGTGTGCTTATGACCGCATTTTGAAATCAATGCGGTTGATTGCAGACCAGAGCGTGGGGAGTGGGGCACAAACTGTTGTAGCGCCAAACCGAAACAAGACTTACCTTCAGTCTCAGAAAGCGCTGCTCGAGCCGGCTACTCATGGCGCCCTGCCTCGTCTGGAGCACATAGATGGTGTTTATGTGCGACAAAATGTTTTCAAATGTGAGCTGCAGGTGTGGTCTAATGGCCTCCACCACCTCTATCAGCGAACAGTTCTCCTCGGCCACTCTACGGCAACGGGAGAAAGGACATTTATAATGGCTAGTCGCAAATAAGACGGTACCAAACATTGGCCTGCGGTTTTTTGCACCCGTAACTCACCTGGGTATAACGCGGGATACGGCTTTGCCGGCCTGTACGATTTTCATTTGTCTATCGAACATCAGGTGGAAGGGGAACACCTTACAGAAAGTCGCTGGCGAGATGAGTGGAGCTGCAGGGGAGGATTGATGGCATGGCAAATGGGTTTCAAGCGTTTAGTCTGGCAATTAGCCAAGCGAATGGGAAAGTGCTTTTAAAGCTTTTAGTTACCTTCACAGAGAAACTCCATATCATCGCTGGCTGCCGGGTCATCCTTCTTGGCATCCACTTGCGATTTGGCGGCCACATTGATTTCACGTATCAGAAACTGTACATGGTCATAGCGTTCGATGTCATCGCTCTTGTTCTTCAGCAGGCGCAGGCACTTCTGCTCCTTGTCGCCGTCGCAGTCGAAGCTATCCTGCACAAGTGGCCCACATGGCGCGCCGCCTGTGGCCTTCGATGTGGCCGGCAACTGCTCGCCAGCTGTGGATTGGGTCATTACAATTGAAGATTAATCGCAATGGCAAAGAAGAGGTTTGCTATGTAGGGGCAACAAAAGTTCAAATAGAGCTGGGCACAAGTCGTGTTTTTTAATCGTGACACGAATATCGTGAGTATAGTCTGCCTGTAATTCAAAGCTCGTGCCTATTTGTCCATTTCTAATACCTAATGACACATTAAATCCCAATGCCCAATTGGGTACGGTTGGTAATAGGATATTTCAAACATAAGCCAGCGGCTTGCTTTGCTTTCAAATGTTTTCTGCTGACTATCGCAATAATGTTATTAACAGGATATTATCAGGCAATCGTATAGTTGCAGCAGCATATTGACCGGTCTAGTCATTAGACCCGCTGATAATAGGGCATAGAATGAGCCTAGAGCAAATTTGTTGGCCTGAATTTTGTTAGCTTACCCGGCTCGCTGGCAATTTGCTGACCATCGTTGTTGTTGTTGATGTTGTTGCTGCTGTTGTTGATGCCATTGTTGTTGTTGGCATTGTGATTGTTATTGTGCTCGGCAGTGCCTGCAACTTGAACTGGTGCAGTCGCTCCAGCAGCAGCAGCCGCATCACTTGCTGTGGCATCCGATCCGCCAGCCGTCGTCTCAGTTTCCAATTGTTGCTGTTCGCGTGCCAGGGCGCGTTCCTTCTCGGTCGCATCGATGGGCTCACCTTTGCGCTTCACGATGTCAATTTCCACCTCGACACCGTGCAGCTTCGATGCAACGGCCTGTGAAAGATAAGCGGGGTCAGCAGCAGCAGCAGTGTGGTTGGGATAGGAGCGAATGTTAACTTCTGGTTAGGTGAGTGACCACAGCGTTTACCTTGACTATGCCGATGACAATGTGCTCCAGCCCGGGCCGTTCCGAGTAATAATGCAGCAGCAGTTCGCCATCCTTTTCCGTGCAACGAAACGAGGGCGCTCGCATGCCCGGATAAAGGGTGCCCAAATGGTCATGCAGTGCGTCCAGATTCTGGTTTGTTGTTGTTGTTGTTGTTGATTTTCACATATATTTTCAATGAAAATTCAGCAAAAATTCAATTTCATTTTTCATTATGATTAAGGAATGGGGCTCAGATGGATGACGATGACGATGTCGATCAGAATGTGCACGTTGATGGTGTGGTGAAAAGTGTGGAAAATTGAAAATAAATCGAATGTGAGTGCAACAAAAGGCCATGCCAGGCCGCATGGGCACATGAGCGTGTGAGCGTGTCTGTAAGACTGTGCTTGTGTGCGTGTGTGTGTGTGTGCACTGAAGCAAAAGAATGCTTATCAATGCGACTGGATGCGAGCAGCAACTCGATGGCAACATAAAAAATGACTCGGTGCAAAATTGGCATTGGCAAATGCGCTGAGATGCAAGGTGAGTCAAGTTGTGTCGTGGTGAGGGGAGGCCAGCCGAGGTGAGGCTTTCGTATGAGACGCTGTGTGATGCATGTGAAATGAGCGTAAAATGCGAAATGTGTTTTAATTAAACGTGGGTAAGCGCTTATACAGTCGAACTACGCAATAACGAAACGAGCGATTCCTATCAATGTCTCATCTACTGGAATCCTGTCGATATATTATATTTATAATTTTGCAAAGACCAAGAGATCTTCGGCTTTTCCTAATTCGAATTGTAGGTTGATATAGACAAGGCGTATTTCAGCTCTTTACGTCGGCAGCTTACGTGCTGGCTTTGCTAGCTATTTTACCTAAAAAAATAATTAACTATATTAAGAATGTTTTCGGCTGCTTAAAAGTTAGTAAAGCTAGCTCGTAAGCTGCCGACGTTAACGTGAGTTGAACGTGAATCAGACGAAACTATTGAAAAGCATAAATATCGAGTGCTTAAACATTTCGTCTTTAAGAAATGGAATACCCCAATTCTGTTGTAAAATATATTTGTTTCTTATAGGCGAGTTCGACTGTGGTTTCAGCTATTTGCCACATTTTACCTGTAGAAAGTCACGCGGCGTTGCGCCCAGCACTTGAAGTATTTTATCATAGCCCGAATCCTGACAGAACTCAAAGAATGTCTTGCCAAACAGTTCCAATATGTCATCGGCAGGTATCTCTGTACGAGGATATATATATGTATACTTATATGTATATGTTTCGGTTCGTTTGTTATGGGACACAACTACAGTAAACCAGTTGAAGTGCTTTGTTTCTCGTCAGTTACTTACTGAGTATCTCAACAGCTGCTCCAATTAGATTGTATGTTATTTCGTCATCGTAAATTTGACGCACCAGAAATTGTCCCTCCATGCTGACCATGGCCTTTTTTCTGCACGTTGTTGTTGTTATTGTATTTGTAGGGACGGTGGAGTGTGCAGGAGGGGGAGATTGCAGCCAGCGTCACCGACAATCCGAAAGATGAAGAGCGCGAGCAGCAATAAGAAGAACAAGCAGAAGCAGAAAATACATACATTAATTTTAATTAAATTGCCTTTGTGCTTGTATTTATATGCGAGTGTGTGTGTGTCTGTGTCAGAGAGAGCGTGTGCTTGTTTATGTGTACTTTGCCCTGAAGCAGCCATAAAGCCAACTGACGCGCATATGGCACTGGCATTTATAACCGACCCGAAAGCGGTATCCAAAATCTTTAGCCAGCGTTCAGCTTCTTGTAAATGTATGTAATTTTTGTTTTCAATTTCCGCTGCCTGTTAAATTTTGCAAATTAAGATATTTTGACAGAATAAATTTAATAAAATATAATACTATTGAAGGCTGTTAAAAATTATGTCAACTTTTATCTTAACTAAATCATGTTTTTGTATTCACAATATATTTTTAAAGTATAGTACACTTTATATTGAACAGAAAGGCACGAACCAGAGCCTCTTTTCACGTATGTGAAAGAAGCTGGTTGAGAAGCTGAACCCAAGAAGGAGGAACAATTTCTTTAGGCCGTGCACCCATTATAAAAATATATAGAATGCTGTTTTTTTTAAATCTTTTTATCTTATGAAAGCGGCTCAACATTGAGATGCTTAGCAATTTATAGGAATTAATTATTACAGCTTACAGCTTATGCTTATATGCTTACAAACTAACTAAAACGAATTATTGTCACCAAAATGAATTTAAGGCTTTAAATTCAAACAATATTTTAAGCATCTTTTACATTTCATTTCACATTTTATGTGACATTTCGAATAAAGAAACAAATAATTAAAATAATCTGAAAAACTTTTATACAACTTCGAGTGTGTTTAAAGCAGCTTTGGTAAATGTTAATTCCCTAGCGGAACTTGAGTCGCATTTGCATTGAATAACAATGCGAAAGAGCGGCAAAATCAAATGGAATTCCCTTTTGTTGTTGTTGATGTCGTTTTTTTTTCTCGATGTGAACATTGTGCAAATCGACTTTATTATTTAATAGAACTTGTGGCAAGCTGTTGCCAAAACAAATTGAATACAACGTGCCAGACACAGTGCATAGCTGTATAGCAGAAACAAAGAAGCAAAAACGAAGAACAGTTGCACCCGACTGCACAATACACTGTACAGAGTGTAATTTCTGCTTGAATGAGTCCAATGGACTATACCTAATTATTATCTATAAGTCCTACAATCGTGACAAAACTGGATTTATATGATTATCCGAGAGCTATTGTACATTGCAGAAAACCAATATACTCTGTTTCACTTTGTGAATAGTGTATTAAAAACAGCGAACATCGCAGAAAAGAAACAGAAATCACATGGAAAAAAAGTAATAGAAAAGTAGATATTGTACGTGGGAAAGTTTTTCCATTTTCTTGCACCCTGGCCCCCTTTCTACCTGGCCTAACTTTTGATATTCCCGCAGCAGCAGCGCAAAACAGCTGCTGATTTGTGACGAGGGCAGGCCCGGACAGAGGCAGGGCGGCAGACTGTCAACGAGGGCGGCGGCAACACTTCATTTGTTGCTCATTCGAAATGAATTGTTGTTGCAACAAAAGCAGCTGTCAAATTGCAACTGGCGAATCATATCAACAGCTGTCGCTACAATGCAATATAAACATTTGCGTGGCAGTTAAAATAATTTTCTTGGCGGTCTATTTGGGCCAACTGGAGCATAAGAACTAGACGTGGGTGATACAAATTTATTTTTAATTTCCGGGTAACATCGGAGACGGGGCCACAGCTGCTGCTGGTGCACTTTCCGCTACTCAGTTAAAAGAATAACTTTTCGTTTCATTTAGAAGAGTGCACATTACGGATGATTATTGTACACTGTGAATATCGTACACAAAATAAAGCCCAGTAGGGCGAAAAAACTGACTGTTTATTTTTTAAAGAATACAAAAATGAATGCTCGTGCAAGCATTTTCCTTAAACATCTGATATACTTATATTTTATTTTCAGTTTAAATGTAACTACTTGTAAAGTTTGGACTGAAATATGCTAAAATTAAACTCTTGACCATAACCTTAGATGTGCTTGTTTTAGAAATAAGAAAACAGCTGAAGGCTGCCTCTGGCATAAATTCGCCTCGAGACTCACTTTGTGTGCAGCCTAATGGATTTCTTGGAAGGAATGGCTCTAGGCACGCGCGTTTAAATTGTGAGATAGAAATTTAAGGCGTATATTTAATTAAAAGCGCACATTTTGGGGCTAGCCCCAAGAGACGATTCACCAGTCTACGCCGCGTATGATTGATTTTCATTGATTTAAATTGTGTGTGTGCGCGTGTCTGTGTGCGTATGTGTGTGAGTGAGCGCGTGTTTGTGGCACCTTTAGATCGACAACTTAATTGAAAAAGTTAATGTGTGCGTGCGCGTAACAAAGCGACACACAAAGTTGCCCAATTGCAATTTTTGTTATACTTCTGCCACGCTCTCATTATCGAATCAAATTTGCGATAAATGTGTTAAGTAAAGAGAAGGTTTTTCATGTGTTGTGCCAAAAAGTAAACATTAATTTTCAACATTTAAGCTAATTTATGCTGTACAAATTAATTACACGCCACGCAATTTATCACCTTGTTATTTCCAGCTACTCTTGACATTAAGTATACGCCATGTAAGCGGAGCGTAACAAATGCAATACGACATTTAGTAGCTCTGCTGCGCTGGCTTCGCTTGCTGCTTAGCTGCTTGGCTGCTGTCTTTTAGCTGCTTACAAATTCAATTTCCGCTCTGTCCTGGCGCGAGCTTTTCCTAACGCTTTTCGCGCTCATTTGAATATTGTGCGGGTGCGGGTGGGCAGGTTGGCTCCACTAAGTGCTTTAATCTGGAAAATGGCGTTGGCCGGCAAATAATATGCAAACATTTGGCGGCTAAATAGCTGCCAGCCAATGGACTGGCCATAATGTTATGTTGTTTTTGCTATTGCGGCTGTCGAGAGCTATGCCTGCAGGCTTTGCCAAGTTGCACGTGAATTGGTTGCCAAATATGCCAATAATTTTCAGTGCACGGCCATTTGGCAATTAGATATTTGCAGTCCGGGCCAGGCTCGAGGTAGCTGGATTTTGTTTTTGACGCGCTTGCGTCTAAATATTATTGTTTAATATGCCACAAGGCAAACACGCACACGTACACCGACGCATACTCACATGACCACTTAGTGATTTTATGCGACTCGTACACGCAGCTGTGTAATATATGTGTGCGTGCTTGTGTGTGTATGTGCACACGCTCTCCCTCTCAATTTGATGGCGAGCCACTAAATCGCTTTATTATGAACTACTTGTTGGCTTTTGGCTGCTTCAGCTTTCAACTTTAAGTTGGCTTACAAAGTTTTAGCCCAAGTCGACCGCAATTGATAACAAATCAATTTGCTAATTTGATTCGCCGTTTGTGGCTTTAAACGCCCCTCTCGACGCCAACAAGCAGCCGCAACGCCCACCCCATGCACAAATGGCGAATTTTTAATGAGCTTGCGCTGCTTTGTAGATTTAATACTATAATAGCATTAAATTACGAGTTGCTTCTGCCTTCATCCATCCAGCTTTGGCTTTGGCTTATGAACTCTGGCCCACGCCCATGACAGTTACTACAAACTTGCAAGGCTCTGTAGGCGGTTCAAAACTAAAGGCGCGCGTGTGTGTCATGCGCATCCGTAGTTACACACACATACATACAGAATATAACTAGCGCATTGTTTGGGCACTTAGCGTGGCTCCTCTGCACAGCTAAATATAAAATACATTCAGATTGTCTCTGGGCTACAGCTTATGTGGGCTACTTTGGTTTTATAGTTTCATATGCAACACGAGCATAAATATCTCAATCTCTATTAAATGTCACAGCTCTTTTTAATTCAAGTCAATTGATAACTTTGCTAAGTTAGCTGCAGCAAATAAAAATACAAACACTTAACGAATTCGGGTTGAATTGAATTATAGGGTAGATAATTATAAAAATAATAATAATAATAAAAGTACAAATAAGAATATTCCTTAGAATAATAATTATAAACAAAACATATCCCATAATTCCCATATATAATTTCAATAGAATCGTATGTTCTATTTAAAGAGAGTATTTCAAATTCCTCCAAGCTCGAGTGCAGCTCTACTGCTGATTTTCGAAGTGGCAGCTGCAGCAGCGACCACCAACAACGCATGGCAGTGGCTGCAGCAAAGAAACGGAAACGAAATAAGGTTAAAAGCCACTTAAGACTTGTGCAAGTTAATGTGGCACATAACTCAAGTGAGTCACATGTTTTATTGTGGCACAAATAGAAAACCAGAAACAACGTGAAAACAGCATACACATACTCACACACACTCGCACACTCAGCAAGTGCTAAGTTGGACCATGGCCAGGGACACACCAGGCATTAGCATTGGTAATAGGAAGAGCATCCTTGTTGCCTGAAGGGACACAACCCAAGATTGGAAAACAAAGTTTAAGAGCCTGGTAATACACAAGCTGCGTAAACTGTTAAGCGTTAAGCACTGCCCACATATAAAACGATCTGGCAAATTAACATTGAAACTGCAGTCGGCGCTGAGGTTGAGCTGCAGATTCCTTTTATTTATATACCCTGTGATGTTAAAAATATAAGGAGTATTTAAATAAGATAAAAGATAAATAAAATAAGAGATAAATAGAAAGAGGGAGAGAGACAAGAGTCAAAACTGGGACTATAGATGCTGAATTAATATAGATTAAAGTTTTCATTAGTTCAAAATATTTATCACTTTTTGACTCTAACAGACAACATAATATAAAATCACTATACTAAATACCTTACTATATTGTATTGTATAGTAATGTTATTCGTATCCGCCTTAATCTGCGGCGCCGTATATGTACATTAAGCTCTCTTGATAGCGCATTGGGATGTATAAA